TTTCTTAATCCATCTCAAACTCTATGCTAACATAACAAATTCTATCTTATTAAGAACTCTTATTAACCCTTATCATAACAGCCCCTACATATATCCAAACTGCGGCTTACCAAAAGCTAGTAGCCTGGTATTATAATGCCCGAGTCAAGAGACGCTACTTCCGAATTGACAATTTTGGACTTTAGAAAGTTATGGTATTTCAGAACGATCTAGGTAAGTTGGGACCGAATTGGGAAGGTACTTATAAAGTATGACAAGTGCTCGGTGAAAGGACGCACGAGCTCGGGACGTTGGAAGGGAGGTAGGTACCCCGTGCCTAAAACGTTGGCAACCTAAGAAAATATTATTTATGAGTTCGGGATTGATGATGTCCTCAATAATGTTTGAAGTGATGACGTTATTGGAGAGGTCGAAACTAGAGAGCACGTGTCCATCATCATACTCTTGAACTCTTCAAAACTTACCAACCCATCTCCATCGGAATCAACCCCTCGAATGATCTTCTTATAGTCTGCGATCAAACACTTATCGTCCCCCAGACTTCTGAGTACATCTCCAACTCTTCTAGTGATATGGACCCGTTTCCATCTACATTAAATATCATTGACGCGTTTCTCAGATCCTCTACAACATTTTCCGAATGAACCCTATTCGTGCTCAAGTCAATAAACTTTTTTAAATCAATAAACCAATTGTCATCCAAATCAACCACTTTCGCCATCTTCTGCAACGCTCCTTCCGTCATCGGGTTTTCGAAGTTCTCCATTATCGAACCCAGGCAAATGCTAAACTACATATGGCCATAAAAAAGAGATATGAATGGAAATCTAAATTAAACAAGAAACAGCGAGGACCCGATGCGTGGCTACGATTCCGGCCACCCGCTAGAGACATAGGAAGCACGGAGGGAGGCCTCTAAATTCAAACCATTGGCTCTTATACCATGATAGAAGACAAGGAAAGTTTGAAAAGATGCATTAATGAGTGTTATAATTACAACATATTTATAGATTGAAACAGATATTAAACCTATTCAAACACAAACTCTTAAACTCTATGAGGACACTATGTTGTCCATTTAAATCCATCTCTAACTCTATCAAAACATAACGAATTCTATCTTATAAAGAACTGCTAATCACCCTAATCACAACARCCCATACATATATGCGGACTGCGACTTACCAAAAGCTAGTAGCCTGGTATTATAATSCCCGAGTCAAGAGACGCTACTTCCGAGTTGACAATCTTGGACTTTGGAAAGTTATGGTGTTTGAAACCGATCTAGGTAAATTGGGACCAACTTGGGAAGGTACTTATAGAGTATGACAAGTGCTCGGTGAAGGGAYGCACGAGCTTGAGACGTTGGAAGGGAGGTAGGTACCCCACGCCTAGAATGTTGGCAACCTAAGAAAGTATTATTTATGAGTTCAGGATTGATGATGTCCTCAATAATGTTTGAAGTGATGATGTTATTGGAGAGGACGAACCCGGAGAGCGCGTGTCCATCATCATATTATTGAACTTT